CCACAGGAAATTTTGAGCAAACATCCATAATTTCGCGAAAGGTCACGATGCAAATTCAAATGGGAACAATGAATGATGTTGATCACGGCACGACAGGCGAAAAGGTGAGGTGTGTTTAATTTTCCCCTGATATTTTTCATTGGATTCCACAAACGACGGGGGGGGGGGGGATGTTAAACTTTAGAGGGGGTTAGAGAAAAGTGCAAAGAGAAAGGGCGCAGGAGGATCGTAGACCTGCATCGAGTTACAACATCGGATTGCACGTTGCAGCATGTATAAATCGCCCGTTACGCCATTCCGATGCAGTGCGGTGCGATGCCGAGAATCAGAAGAGAACTCCAGCTCTTTGCTGAGGTCTCCTTCGCCGAGATCCCCGAGATTCAGGACAGGTTGCGCCGTTCTTGAGGAATGTCAAGCGTAACTTTGATACCGAAGCCCCCCAACCCCCGCGTGCACTGTTGTCGATGGGTGAATAGGGGCTAAGGAACAAGGGGAGAGGACACATCGCCTCCATGCATCCGGGATACGATGATCGTTCACAACATTCGCCTCTCCTTCTACTCTCCCTCCTTCTTCTCTTTTCTTTTTATTTATTTTTTTACAGCCGCACCTTACTGCACTTTCTTGGCTTAATAATACGTGGCAGCCTGTGTGAATTCGCAACCACGCGTGGTGAAAAATTGGCAGTTGGTGCAGTCTATTATGTCACCTGGCCCCAACATTTTTTAACACTCCAGTAAACAAAAGTTCGATTTATAAACGTGTAAATTGACTTTCACGACGTCCTCCATAATTCATCGGAAATCCCTATTTACGTCAATCAATTTGCACAATATGTTTTCTAATTGTTTTTTTCTAATTGAGTTTTGCCAAATATCTTTGATGACAAATTCATGGCAAATGTACTTTAATTAACTACTCTTTTTATTCGATTAATTCGATTATAACTACTCTTTCAATTCGATTATTTTGGGAAATTTAACAGAAATTCCGGTAAATAAATCGTAAAATTTTTAACTAGTTAAAAAGTCAAGATGAATGTTTTCCCAATATTTTGCTTCTTGCCTATATATATGAAACCAAAAACTGTTGATTGTCTTAACCGCTGATTAAAATTGACAGATTCAATTTAATTGTGTTATTCATCGAATGACATATCTTTTCTCATCGTTTCAAAGATATTTTTTTAGTTGAAATATCTTTTATTATTTTTTTTAAATAGACTTCGTCTCATAAAATAGTCAAAATTGAGAAAATTATTTTCCTAGGTTTTCAAATCCATCCTGCTATTAAAAAAATAGCAGCAAGACGAATTCTTGAAAAAGCTGTCGTTTTTAATTTCCCTTATAGTGCCCAGATGGTGAAATAAGCTCCGCAGAAGACCGACAATAAAAACCTCCCCTTTTCTACCATAATTTTCTAACTGTCACTTGGTCTCAATCCAAATTTTCATACATCTTGGTCGTGCGGGTGTTCACCCCAAACATCAAACAAAATCAGATCTTTCTCCTTTAAATGATAATAATCTCAACGCATCTTGTTAATCCTGAACCTCATTCTCATCGTTGCCTCTGCCACAAAAACGCACAAGAAGAGGCTAGCCTCTCACTCATCTAAAAATTTCCAAGTCATCATCCTTGGGTGAAAAAATTTCCGAAAACAAGTTAGTAGATGAAAAATGATGTAGCAGGTGACGCTCGGATTGCGATGTTACCGTGTTTTGGCTTCCTGGGGGAAAAAAGGAAAAACAAACGAGAAAAAATCCGAGCAAGTGAGGGGAACTGTAAAAAGTAATCCTCGCAACACCGTCACCTACCTCAGGATCCACCACATCCTTTTCCAGGTCCGATCATCGGAGACGACCACCATTACCACTACACTGGTAAAAGGCAGCGAGGTGGAACTCATAAGCCCCCGAAGATCCAAGACATAACAGGTAAAACAGGTTTGTGGACGTCTCGTGCTACCTGTCCTCCTCTATGTCCCTCTCTCCTGGTCCTCATCTACATCATCAGACGTCTTTCTCCCCTTGGCCGGTCCTCGAACACTTTGGGCTCTTTTCTGATTCCTCCGGAAGGCGTTCCGAAGGGAAAAAAGAAGGTGGATCATGAGAAATGGTTGAAAGAACCTGGGGGAAGACTAAAAAATATCAAGAGTGAAAAGAAAAAAGAAAAAAAGAATAAGGAGACCGACGGGACAAACCTTACGGTCCACGATCCGATCTTTTAGTGGGATATATTTATGTAGTAGTGGTTAATATATGTGAGGAAAGAATGCAATGCGGATCTAAGCAGGGAAGAAAGGAACAAAAAAAAATATGTGGGTAAAAAGAAAAGTGAAACGAACCTAAAGAAATACCGGACGAAAATCCAACGATCCAGGGCGGGGGATTTTTTTTTTACAATCGTTGTTATGAATTCATCGGGTAACAGCGTTATTTTTAACTCTCTTTGAATACGTTAAATTATGGTCTTGCAAATTACTCATCGTTATGTTTTAATTAATAACTGACTAATTGCAGAAGAGAGAATCACGGAGAAATTGTTTTTGGCTTGGTAAAGTGTAGGGGTTTTTGCTTATAAATTAGAAATATGCTTTCAAATGATAATTATGTACACCATTTTATCTTACCGCATATGTTTTATCGATTTATATTCTTGTGTTCAAAGGCATATCAACACGATTTTAGAAGGCATCTATCGAATGTATTAAAAACTACTTCTTTGAGTTATCGTAGGATCGAATGATTTAAAGAAAAGAAAAATCCTTGAATTTCCCACATGAATTTAACTTCCATTAATGGTAATATATCGAGTCAATACTATATCAAAATTGTAAAGTCTGTACACAAAATCTTTACAGTATTACTCCTACGAAGAATGGCACTTTATAACTTTCATGGGAATGTGATACTTGTCGAGAAACCCATCAGATATTTTTTCCGGTGTATGTCGATGCAGTGTTATGAAAAAAAAAACTGCCGTTTTGTTGACTTTTTTTATACCCGTGCAAATATAACAATTCCTCAAACAGTTAGATCGAGGAAGAATTTTTTCATTCGATGAAAGTAGATGTTGGATTTTTGGAGATTTCCACAAGGTCACATTTCACTCTGTCTCTTTTAACTTTTACATTTTTGTCTCTGGAATGACAGTGACAGTATGGTTTACATTGCAGTAAGTCAGGGGAATAAGAAAAGTGGAAAAGGCCATGCCGAATCTTGTAGTTTTTTTACGGATAAAACTTATACTTCTTACTGCCTATCTCTAAGCAACATTTGACGACCAGAAGTGGCCAAGGGAGAAAGTAAAACCCCTTTCAGGGGGTGGAAAAGTGGTTGCCCCAAAGGTCTTGAAATAAGGCCCAAGTAGTTGTGTAATGAGTTAGTCCCTCTTGTGTATCCGTAGAGCAACGTACCTTTTGGTTAAAGAGTCCGCAATTATTTAGGAGAAGAAATGATATGTGAAAATACAGATTGAAATAAATTATCCAATAGTAGAATTTGAAACATTGAAAATTGAGATACTAGTTTGCTCCATTGCAGAATTCAAGCTCGAGTCGTCTTTCAATTAATAAGTATGAAATAATAGAAAGAACAATCATTTGTTTAACAAAGTAATTAAAAAATGTTGCACTAATAATAGGAAGACCTGTTAACTATTAAAAGAAAATGACAGCATAAAGAAAGAATTTCTAATGAAAGTATCAAATTTGAGTTAAATTTCTTCAGTCATGTGGTAATTAAAATTTTTTCACTCGGGCTTATTTACCCTTCATAAAAAACATTCCATTTCATGAATTAAGCGATTCGGACAGTTTATAGCTACTCAAGTTGTAAGCTCGCGAGAATTTTTGTTTTAATCGTGACCTACTAAATAATAAGCACCATTTGACCCGTAATTTTCGTTTATAATGATCTCAATTCATCCCCAGCATTTAAATCGATGCCAACTAGCTCGAACCAAGAAAGAGATGGAGATAAATCATCGAATCCCTCGCGACTCCGTCATCGTTTCGTTTCAATTTGAAACGACTGGCGAAGTGAATGAGAGAAAGAGAATAAATAAATAAAAAAATGACGCCTCGGAACATTTGAATCCATTGCGCCACACAAATTGAAAAGGTCAAACGAGCGTGGAACGATAGCGCTCGCCCGCATCGCCTGCAAGATTGGTAACAATTTCCGTAAGACAGATCGCCGATGAGAAATATCATAAATGCCGCACGTCACGTAGAGGAGAACATCGTTAAATCACATTTGTACATCAGCTTCAAGGAGCTATTCCAAAATCTTGGTACTGTCTTCAGAGTCCAGGGTATTGCACCGAAAGACCAACATTTTTCATTTTTTCATCTCAAGACGGCCCTTAAAACGCATTTTAAATCGATTATATTTTCTATAACAACTATAAAATTCAATCAATTTTTTAAAACTCAAATATCCCTATGATTACTTTGCCAATTAATTACCATTGTACTTCGCAATAAATATAAATTATTGTAGGATAGAAATCTATATATAGTCGATGGTATTATTGTCAATGGTCTTAGATTTGAAATTCAGTCAGAGGAATATCTTCTCAAGTTTTGGAAAGGTTTATAGTATAAGTAACTTAAGGTGAGCATTAGTCTCGGACTGCAGATTTAAGTCATTATTTAGTTGACCCTTACTCAATACTTAACTCAACTTTGGTTAACTTTGTACATGGTTGATAAACTATCATGGAATTTGGCGAGAAATTTGGGGCCAAATTTTGCTTTGAAAAATGCCTGAATTCCGACCGAATCTTGACTGAACTTCAACGAATAGAAGCCCAACTCAAAAATGAATATCTTAGGAATGAAAATATTACAACGGACAATAGTTATTAATTAGTTAATTATTAGCCATTATAAACTTCTCACTAGGAACATGTCCCATGGTTATAGAAGGAATGATAGTAGTTACGTACTAATTGCATAGGGTAACAAAAGCAATGAACTTTCAATTGATTATTAATTATAACCATGATATCTGTATAGGCCGAATAACGAAAAAAAAAAGGATAATCCCAGAATTAGCGCGTATCTCAGGATAAACGGCCAATTCCAATGTAATTATGAAATTGTAGGAATCGTCTATAGGCACCTCAGAATTAGTAAGAAATACCGGAACCCAACGGCCAGCCCCCACCGCACGAGGAAGCTACGACGAGGAAGTCCTCGACTCTTGGCCGGCAGCCGCTGCCGCTCCCGCTCCCGCTCCGATTCCCCTCCCACTCACCAGCTACCACTCGGCAGTCTTCGGCTCAGCTCTCCGTCCTGCCGCGTGCTTCGACTATTTCCGCTGGATCCAAATGACAGGACCAATCAGCTGATGACATCTGATGCCGTCCCACCGACACCACCAATCAATTGCCGCACATTCTCCCGGTGAGAAAACTCGCTCTTTGTCACTCACTCTTCCTCTTCCTCCGTCATTGCCATTTATCTGTGCAGTTGTGTGAAGGTAATACCAATGGTGGGGGAGATAGTGTGGGCAACCTTCCGCCATCCACTCGACACTTCCTAAAGGCTTGCTTCGAGAGTTTCAAGCGTTTCAAGGGACGATATACAAAGAATTCTCAGTCGCTCGTCAGCTACAGTACAGGGCGGTGGTGTTACACACGGTGCAGTCACTGTTTATTATTTCACCCCCTCGATCATAACCCTCTGACTCATTCACAATACTATAAACAAAACAATCACATTAAAGTTAATACGAGCGAATGCGCAAACTGTTAAAATGATGAGAGGCAGTATGGGATGATGGGGATAAGAGAACAGTGATGAAAGACCAATTGAACTGTTTCGATCAGCATCGACTGTGATTTAAAAAAAAATTACCATATTAAATAACGAGAGTTGAACAGTTATTATCACGTGTTCAGTGGATTAGTTTTTTGAAGAACTTTGTGAGTTCCGTGTAATATGGACGTACGATTCCACCGAAAATAATAAGGTGCTCCCCGGAGTCAAACCCCCTCTCCAATACTTGTTCGGTTGTGGGATACATTTGGAGGGATTGACCAATGAACAGTGGTAAAGTGCAAGTTATATCGCGAAGAACGGCGAGACGGCTACCAGTGACACTCATTCTTGGATTTTAGAGGGATTTAACTGAAGCTGGTTGAGGTAATTTAATGGTTCATTGTCACTTATTTGATAGAGACTTCTTTTTTGTTCATCAAATGTTTTCTCAAGTTTCTGCTTTGATCGATGCTATTGTTCATTTTTATGACGACATCGTGTTTTAGGAGATTGCGCTTAATCTGATTATTTGAATAGTTGAAGGTCTGGATGTAACCGAATGGTTATGGTTAAAAACCACCTGTGCAAAGTTGTCACAATTCTCCGAATTTCAGACTTTTTTAAACAAAAAATTCTTTTTTCTTTTTTCTTTTTTCATTTTTATTTTTATTTACTCTCGACAAACGTGCGAACACGAGACACGTTCGTGACTGGTGTACGATAAGACGGCTTTACTGTATGGAGATTCTTTAGGTAGATGGCTGAGTGAGATTGGACCCGACTAGTTGCAGGGTCATCAATCTTTGTTGGATAACCGATCGGGTTCAATGGAGATTTTCCAGTTTTTCCGCGAAAATCACCACGTGTTATGTTTTTTGACCCCGATGAGGGTGGGGGTGTCTGGGGTGGGATTTGCGCCAGTGATAAGCGAGGATAAATTTATGTGTTGGAGGTTTCCGATGATTTTCATGTTTAAATGTGATTTACCTACTCTCTTTAGTTTCAACACATTCACCCTGTGCTGTTGGCTTTCAGATATTTATTCAGATGATTCTAGTTTTATGCTGCTGATTGCGGCATCCATAATTCGGTATAAGTAAAAAATCATTCATTTTTAAGATAAACTCTTTGATTATGACGTCAAATGCGCACGCATTGTTTCAGTTAGATTCGTTCAAATATAAGAATGTTATTCAACTGGTGGATTAAAATTAATATCTGAAATCATATTGATAATAAACTATTAATGATAACTGCTATCTACCATGTCATAGAAATAGAAATGTTTTGTTTTAATTATCGAAAATTCTGTTTCATATTGTTGATAAATCCGCATGAGTCCGCATAGATATTAGAATGCAGCTTAAAATCCTAGAAGAAATCTTCAATATTCTGTAATCAATTCTGTAATCAACGGTAATTAACTAATCTCTCAAGAATTCGAAGACACATTAATAGGCTAATTTCTTTAAGCCGATTAATATCCTGGCAATTAAAAAACTAAAAAAAAATTATTTAATTTCACTCTATCGATCATGAGTTATTAGGGATAAAAATTATCTGTGCTTTTTTCATAAAAAATCATGCACTGCAATCATGCACTCAAAAGCACACAAACAATAGTCTCCTAATTTTCTTTGTTATTTTAATTAATCACGTGCGATAAAAATCAGATCTGTTGGCAAATCAGTAGCTATCGTAAATTATATTCGAGATTTATTTCCTCCTCTTGTGGACTAAAGCTGCCATCTCTTGGCACACGAGGGCACGCGTTCAGAGTCGTCTGAACCTCCTCAGTATTCTCTCATATCCCTCCTCAAGCTATTTTTCTCCTTTATTTGATTTTTTTGTGAAACAAACTGGCTATGCCGGAAGAACTCGAGTGAACCGACTACACTGTATCGCTGGCGTGCAACTTTATTTTTAGTTATTTAGTTATTCATTACTCATTCGTCTCTCTTATCTTATTGGTTCGTGTGTTCCTTCCGTTCCTTACGGTCCTCTGGACATTATTAAGCCGCCTTTGAACGTTTTTTTTTGTAATTGGAGAAGTGGTTAGAATTACCATCGTGTGTTTCAATTTAGGGAGAACTCATCGGCTAATTTAGCCAACAAATTTCACCAATTTCGTAAAAAGCATTATCTTTTGTTTGAGGTTCTCAGGTCAGTTTACCTTTTTATTTTAATTTACCTTGTTATTGAATACTGACCTGTTTCCACACCAGTGCCTCATTTATTTGTTGATTTCTTTGATTTTGTTCATTTCATTCTTAAATTGTTATAATAGTTCTAAAAAAAAACTGTCATTGGTCTTTTGGGAAAATTTGGTAAAATAGTCACTGGTACGGATTTATTTTCGTCTCGATATATCGATTTTCGGTGTCATGGAGAATTTCCATTGGTCTCTGTAGCGTGAGGGGTTACTTACCGTCTAGAATCTAGATAATGCTGGATGAAATGAGGGGAGAAGGGAGATTTGAAGCGTTAGAAAAGGGACAGTATAGAAGAGAATGATATATGAAAGGGAAAAGGGGGGTGAATTGTGGGGTTCCGTCGAGAGGGCTTTTGCGTCGAGGAGTAACTTAGCTCGAACTACGGCCGCATAAACCGAACCGGAACGCGGAAGTTCAAAGTGATGAGGAAGTTGGAAATTTTCAACTGATCATAGAGAATAAGGGGAAGAAAATTTACTTTTTTCATCGCTAAATAGTTCTTCTATCATTGCACTGAAAAAAATTGTTTGCGGAATATTGTGTTCAATTTTAATGCTTGAAGAATTTCCAGAACGAATAAAACTCGCAGATAATTTCATGTATTTTTTACTTCCAACTGGTATTTTCCTCGTCAATAAAATTATTTATGAGTGAAATCACAAACGAATGATTTCCTGAATAAATAAAACCACACGGTTCGGTAATTCAATAATTTTACCGCGCTATATGAGTAATTCACGGTGTGTTAAATATGATCGTTTTAATTCACTCGAAATGTTTGAATTGGTCCACTGAATTTGACTACGGAGTCGTCCATTAGTTTCATCGCAAGGACAAAAGTGGAGTGGAATCTATCGCGATAATGGAGTTTCGGTGATGGGAGGTGCGGTAGTGAATCGACCCAGTACCAGAGTTCAATGGTTTATTCAGGAAATATTATACGCCCGTATCGTATAGATTTAGGCTTGCCTGGTAACTTTTCACGACACGATATTTTTTCGTACGTTTTTCTCTTCGTTCATATTTTTTCGATCATCCGCTTAGTAATATCATCATAATTTTGGCATGTGACGGTCATATGGAGTGTCGCGAAATTCCCGTACAGTTTGAAGAAACATTTAATCAAATTTGCGAGACTTACTATTCGCTTACAGATTATGAGAGAGCGACTTTAAATGATGATATCGTAATTTTTACACAGCAAATTCAGAAAATAATGACAAAACGCTCTGATAAAATTGCGTAACAATTGAGAATTGAAAATTTCTTCAACCACGTTTTGCTCTGCAATTACGATAAAGCTAGGTAGTAAGTTAAATTTTATTGAGGATATATTTGTCCCGCTGTGATTTGAGAATAGGCTTCCGAATGACTTCCCCATAGCTGTCACTAAATATGTTTCGATAATGATGAAAGAGTCATTGAGATACGTAGAATGAAGAACTGAGAGCTCTTCATGACGACGGAAATAACGTTTTTCATTATCGTTGAGCTTTTTGGAACATGCGATTTTCATATTTAAATAATTGAAATCAGAATAATATAGAGTTATCATGTTCATGAACGTCAAAATCAACCACATTATTGTTCAATTTATTTAATTTTATAAATTTTGATTTCAAATTTAATAACTCAAAGTTTTATGATTGATTCAGATATAATATTAGAATCGATTCGTAACTGTCCTGGGACTGATGTATATTGGAGTCTACTTCGATAATGAATAAATTTTCGGGGCTGCGATAGTGGTTCGACTGTTCTTGAATAAATTTTAAATAAAACTTGAATTATATCACTGATCATTAAATAATTGAGTCGAGGAGGAATACATTTTTCAATTTGTTCATTTTTCATTTCTATAATTTCTGACTATTCATGACTATACATAATTTTAAAATAGGAAAATATAATAACTAGAATTGGAATGATCGATTAACGGTAAAATATCCGGGTAAATATTACACAGATCCGAGTAAGAGGCGTTTTGTAAATAACTCTTCTGTAATGTATCTTCGTCGTAGCTGTAGAGTGTACAAAGTTGGTAGAGAAACCGGTCCAGTATCCGGACCGGAAGTGCGGACCTTGGACCTGCGTCACGAATGTGTTCTTTGGTGTTTTCTTCTCATGAGGGGCCTGCGTGCTAGATGATGGTGGGTAAAAGACGGCAAAGGGGATCCATCAGCCAGTCTCTGGACGTTATTTCACTTTTTAGTTTCATCCTTCCTTTCCATCCTTTTTTCCTTGACTCGTCCTGCGGGTGTCTTCAGCTTCTTTAGTGCGTGATTTCCTCCCGCACTGTCTTCTCATCTTTCTCGCTTCTCCTCAAACACGGGACTGAAAATCATCGCAAAAGGAGAATCCCAGGCCTGGATGGATGGCATCCGGTGTTGTTGGCTCCTCTTCCTTAGATTTCTCGGGGAATGCACTCGACCGATGCGGCCAGTGAAACGTTAAACCAAAAAACGGAGAAAAATAAACGAGTTTTGAGGATATCCAATCACTGGATATCCTCTTTTTTTCGCATTAAAAACCTTTTCAACATAATCAGTGCTCTCAATGAACTCTCCACTTAATTCTGCATTTCTAACTATTTATACATATTTGGATTATTATATATTTCTCCATATCTTTTATATTTGTTAAAGTTTCTCCTCAATCAATTTATAATATCCAAAAGAGAGTAGGGGCAGATGAAGAAAACAATTTATTCCAATAATAATGTCGTCATTGTGGAAGGATCAAGACGAAACTAACATCCGCTTCTGATTAATTAACTCCCGAGAAATCGCTTGATTTATCCCACGCTAAAATGCTATTTTTTCAAAGTATTTAGATAGCACTGATGCTCGGCAATGAGGCTGCAAATATCGCCTGACCATAAATTTTCTCATTAGCAAATAGAGCATGCAAATTTGACCAATTGCATGGTATTTCCTCGACAATTAATGATTTTATTTTTGAGAATGATTGGTTCGCAAGAATTTTCTATTTGAATACGTCAGAGGTTGAACTCTCTTCCTCATCTCGTCCGGTCAGACCTGACGTTCTGATTCTATTATTGTACTCACTTCCTCTTAGAATATTTATACGACTGCTCACCAGACAGCTCATTCGCACCTTATAGCTCGTGTACCCCTGCGCTTGTGTGAAACCCATCATTCAGTGGTATTA